CGTAACAAATTGAATTATCGGGATAAACTTACCACCAGGTCTCCACTGGCCACTGCAGTAAGCCAGCTGTCACAAGTGATGTGCAGACGCCAAAGTGCAAGCTGATCAGGAGCATCAACACATGGGAGCCACTCACGAGTGCCTAAAAACTGGAGATCTGTCCCTGATGCTGGCGAGCTGCCGACACAAAACACCATTCACTGTTGCCCTTCTCGAAATTCATGCCATGATGATGACATGATTTTCCTTTCTTTCAGATTTTTCCGACATTCTGCTTCAAGGATAACTTTGTCTATTTCCTTGAACCTGAATATCACAGAACTTCTGGCGCCCGTGCTATGGGCTCCAGAGGTAAAGACTAATTTCCCTGGCTGCGGCACGAGTGCTGAGCCTTTTCTACGTTGAAGGCACATCCCGCATTTTCCTAATATGCAGATACCTTTCCGAGGAGTTCTGGAAGCACAACGGGTGTACTACCTTGGCGGCTCGAAAGTACCTTACAAAGAAGCGAGGTGTTCGTGACGAAGGGAATACTTCTCCCACCTACCATTCACTTCTACGCTAAACGTAGGCGTTTTGTGCCATGGCTTTGAGGAGAAGATAAGAGCGGTACGTACGTACTGGTGGCGCAATTAGCGCCTAAGCGTGGGGTGCGCGTCAAGTCTCGCCCGGGTCAAGAATTCCACCCATAACTCAGCATTTTTAAGGTGACCTTCAAAGCGTGGACTGCAGCCTCAAGGAATCAAGCCGCTTCCTGGGGTGAAATTGCCGGCTAAAGCCATCCCTCAGAAAACTTAGACTTGAACCTGGCACAGATTTCGAAAAATGGAGCAGCAAAGGTAGATGGCACACAACATTCAAATTGTAAGCAAGTCGTACTTGTCAACAAGGAGCTCCTGTAGGTAAAGACGTGAGCTCCTTTATCAAGGGTTCCGTCCGGTGCAATATTATAGACGAACTTTATGCCCTGGAATTCGAAGCTTCTTGTATTTTGAAAGATTTTCACCAAGCGAAGAAAAATTCAGATTGGGCTGACTTGAGTAGGCTTCTCTACAACCACATCAACTGCGATTGTAATGCACTTCAACAGCTGGATGGTGAGACGAAGGGCATCAGGTATTGTTATTTGAAGAAATGCTGCAGTACAAACAATATCAGGAGTAAGACAGAATCGTAAGCATAAACGCTACCGTCTTTTTCGTTAATCGAGTTATAGTACTGTGGGAGAGTTTCCATGATCGAAAGGTTGGGACTTTGTGCAGCAAGCTAAAACGTGCTGTTAATTCCCAACTGTGAAAAATGTGAAAAAAGAATTATTTCCACACCGTCGGTTGCGTCAAACGCGAGTAATCACAGTCTGCACCATTGATAGTTATCCTACCGTGGCCTCCCAATTCACGTGGCAGCAAAGCACCTGGAACGGAAAATGCAGTGGGAAGCTCTTGCAACTCCAGAAAATGCATCTTACATGAGCCAAGGTGTAAATGAATATTCCTCAAATCCGATGAAAGAGGAAGGGCAGTAATTTCGGTATGGACACGGAAAGATTCATTTATGAACGAAATGTCGGAAATAACTACCTGAAAAAGAGAAACAACTCGAAATTCTCCGAATTTTCGAGAACAGATTTACAGGAAGCAAGCAAAAAAGTAAAGTCTATATTACAAGAATGCTGAGTTGTGGGCAAAAGTCGTGCCCCAGGCGGGAGTCGAACCCGCACCTCACGCTTTCCGGGCGAGTGCGCTATCCGTTACGCCACCAGGGCCGCTTTTACCCTCTCAGCTTAACGGCTTTTATGCCGTAGCCTTACAGCACTCACACGTTTAACTTGGTGAGCCGGTCAGCCGTAATCGTTAGATATCGGCATGGAACCGCGAGGCCGAAGGCTTTACAAGTTTTTGAAGCTGTTTTGTTATGACTCCCGCCTGGGGCACGACTTTTGCCCATAACTCAGCATTCTTGTGATAACATTCGGAACGCGTACTGCGGCGTTAAACAGCAGTTATCATAACAAGCAGCTTTAAAGTATCTATTTTTCCTTCCTCACAACAACTCTCAAATACCCACCGTTTGCGCCAGAACGCGAATCTCGCCTCGTACTTCAATACCTGGTGCAGCCTGAAGGTCACCGTCTACTTCACCATTCACTACGCCGGCTTCTCCTTGTTGTCCTTGATTTGGTCGATCTCCCTAAATTAAGCAGGACTTCTTTGGGAGCTTCACCACGGGAGTACATGTAATCCAATGAAGCCTTTATACTGTGGTGCGCATTTGGATGACACCAATTTCTCTAATGATTGGAGCGAAAGTCGTCCTGAGCACTCCCACCTCCTACGATTGTCGGGGAGGGAGCATTTATTCGGGCGTGAATGGCAAAACTATAATGGTGCCGCACCTTGACTAAGAATAACCCTCGAAAAGAAAATGTCATGAGAAAGAAAATGTTATGAGAAATCACTACGGGAGGGGAGCACAATTTGAATAAGGTTTGCTCCGGGTTATGAACGCGTTCCTGCCCTCAGTGATCAGCTATCATTCTGACAAATTTTTCAGGACATTTGCATCTTGTACGAAGGGTGATACCATAACTGCTGAGACTGCTCGACAGCAGTTTGCCAAGTTTATGAATGGACATTGTGACACAGGCGACATGGGCTGCTAAGGCAGCGTT